TTTTTTTATGATCATTTAATTGTGCAGCTGGATAAGTTATTTGTTTATAAGATAATAAAGAAAGTAAAATATTAACACGATTATTCTTCAATGATTCTACCGTTGTATTAATATTTTCTGTTGGTAAATGTTGTTTTTTAATTTTACGATCAACTTTACAATCAAAAGCAGAAATAGCTTGACAATGTCGTTGATATTCAACACATGTCCATATACGATCAGCAGATTTTAATAATGAAGGAAATGTACCATCTAATGTAGGAAATGTTTTTTCTTCCGAAGTATTTTTTATCGATGATCTATAGGAAGTTATTCGTAAAATATCTTCAAGTTCTTCTGTTGGTGGTATAGAACATGTATTTAATTCATAAAAAACTGTATGTTTACATCGTCGTATTGCTCCAATTGTTCCAATAATTAAAACAGGTTTTTTAAACCATGAAGGTAATATTGATACATCAGTAGATGATGATATATCTGACTTATCATTACATGATTTTACCAGTGGTGAAATATCTTTAGGTGACCATGTTGTTAATCCCCATGGCCATTTATTAACATCATCTAGAATAATTAAAAAAAAATATTTTAATTCTATTCAAAAATATTTTCTTTTTACGTAATGATGAATTTATATTTGTAGGATTAAATGCGTTTATACCATTATAAAATATCTGTGGCCATAAATCAATAGCTCGTTGTTTAACTCCATCTCGAGTAGATAATATCTGTTCAATCATATTTGCATCAACACCCCATACATTATGTTCATTTGATATTTGTTTAGTATCAATTGATGATTTATAATGATAACCTTGTGGAAAACACCATACATTTATTTGATTTTTAGCACTTAATAATCTTTTATCTATATATTGTTCATGTGGTGTTTGTTGAAAACATTCTTCTTGATAAGGTCCCCATTTACAACATGGACATGTAACAACACCATAAATACCTTCTGATGCATCAACAGCATTTATAGCATCTTCAATAGTAACATGAGCATGCATCATAACAATAATTGCTTTTCGACATTGTATAGATACAGTTTGAATTTTAGCACGTGTCATTCGTAAACCTTTAATATTTTTCCATTCTTTACATTGATCAATTGTTGTTAAACTTCGTCGATTAATAAATGTGATATCAGCATATGTATCATATTGAAGTAATGGATCAATACTATAACATTGCCATTGACCTTTTGTTAAATATGCACATAATGCAGCTGTACGAGGTGTCATACCATCACCAACAACAATTATTGCATTTTGACGATTATCAGTTGTACATGTTGTTGTTGATGATAATGATAATTTCGGAAGAATATATCTTCTTAATGCTGTCCATACTGCAAATGATTCAGTAATTTCTTTTGCATTTGGAAATAAACCCATCGTAATTAAATCTGGAGCACATATTAATTGTAGAAATTGATCTAAATATTCTAAAGGATAATGATTAGATGATTTTTCATTATGTGAATGTTCATTGTCTTGCATTTCAAATAAATCAATATTTATCTACAAATTTTGATTTGATTTATATTCATCAATTTAGAAATTTATTAAAATAAGTATAGAAATATATTAGAAACATTTATATCGAATGGAATTATTAGATAAACTACAGAACCAATTAAAATAGAAATAAAAATACAGGTCGCCATTTCAATCTATTCTTTCCTACCTCTCTATTATGTAATAAATCTATAAATAATGTCGCTACGTCACATCATTTTTCTTTCTCTTACTTCTGAATGACGTTTTCGAGCTTTAGTCTATTGGAATATTATAGGACTTAAATTTTAAATTCAGGGGTACAAAATAAAAGTCATTTATTCTGTTTGAGATGTGCTTTAATAGGTTTAGTAGGATAGTAATATATCACACTTTTGAATAATGAACATCGACTACTTAAATAATAAACAAGTTTCTAAATTTGATTTTTTTTGAACATATTCATCAAATTATAATTAGCAGTTACATGAAGTTGTAGAACTCTTGAGAAGAACAGATCGATACTTCATTATAGATTACAAGATATATCAGTTTAGATGAAGTAATTGGCAATACTATTAAATGGAGTTAAGAATAAATATCATATACATAAAGGGTGTTTCATAAGTTTCAACCCTCTTTTCGTTTTTTTCTTGTTTTTTTATATTCCATCGTAGGCTGATTTTCAAGAGCGATTATGGAAGGGCCACACTCAAGCTCTCAAGTGGAAAAAAATTCATTCTATTCACCGTAGTTTTACAAGAAAATTACATCGATCAAAATTGTGAACAACTTTCTCAATGTGCATTATCTGCTTTTAATATATTATTACTGCGAAAAAACAGCCGTATACTAATCCATACGACCCGAGGTATCTTCCTTGTTCTTTTTACGGCGTTGCACTCACATGAAAGATCACGCATTAGTAGGTGTGTACTAAGTAATCAACGGCATTACACTGTCATAACTAACCGAATAAAAAATAAAAATCATGGTTCTGACACCCGTTTTCTTGTAAAACTATTGTCAAAAGAATGATTATTTTTCAACTAGAAAGCTTGAGTGTGGCCTTTCATAGACCCTCTTGGAAATCATCCTCCGATAAAATATGAAAAAACAAAAAGGGGGTCGAAACTTATGAAACACCCTTTATATATAGATATTTTTTTTTTCATTCTTATATTAAGTTACTCAAATAAATAAAAATGTGATCATAGATAAAATATTATCAATAGAATTTTCTTCTGGATAATTTATAATAATATTTTAAAGAAAAAAATTTCTTTATCTCAAATATTAAATCTTGTGGATATGAGTCGGTCAAAGATCGAAATCCAACACTCTCATCCTCATGTTTCTGTTCGGTTTGCCTCGTGATTGGATAATACTGTATATGTTGATTGTGATTACCGAATTGCATAAACCAATTGCAAAATTTTTCGAATATTACCTATTTTCTTAGCTCAGATGTCATAAATAATCAACATTTTTGTATAACATATATCTTATTTACAGTTTATTTTGTTAATTACTATAGTTCGTTCAAAAACTTATTTGCATAGATAAATTGTAGTTTTTTTATGACCAATGAGAGATGTTCTATAATTTCGAAAGGTTAAAAAAACATTAATCAATTATGAAAAAAAATATATCAACGAAGTTTTAATCAAATTAAAGTTCAAGAAATAGTTTATTTATTATTTTCCTCTGTATATTGTAATCGAAATTTGATCTTGGAATGTTATATCACTCACACTAATCATATTATTAAAAAGAAGCAATTTTTTGTTATTATAATCATATCTATGCAGAAGACAATACATAGATAGATAATATATTAACAAAAATAACTACTATTATATATTATATATTTCTTGAATAGGGTGTTTTTAATTCATTCACTTGTTTCTGTTCTGCATTATCAGTTATTTTACAAAGAAAAAGCAAATACAAATTCTTCGATATATTCTAATTAGTTTTTTTAATGTTTTTTGCTTTGTCATCAAATTCCATTTGAGATTGTACAAGTTTAATCCTGTGCAAGTGACAGTATGTCTAAGAATATATTTCTTTTTATAGTGGTCAATAAAATATTTAAATTCTTCTTTCTTTCCTTTAAGTTCGTTCTATTGTTATTGTGTAGCATTGAAACGATTTCGAAAACATGTTTTAGATCTAATCAATACAGCCAACCACCGTCTTTTGAAACAATTCGTCATGCCATAACTCAAATATAACTATGCTTAAATTAATATTGTTAATAGAAGTTTTCCGAAGATCTGAAAAAGAAACGATATTTAGATTAAAATCTTTTATAGATAAAAAAATTCTTAGAACTACATCCACAAATCGTTCTCGAGCTTTTTAACGTCAACATGTTTGATCTACATGTAAGAGAACTGAGAATAATTGTATTCGAGAGTTATACTTCTAGCATATAACTTTGTATTTCAATCTATTGATAATGTGAATTAAGATACTGACTTAGTAGAAATTAAGAAATTCTTGTATCATGTTTTAGATCATACATACAGAACTACCGTTCATTTTAAAATAAAAGGCGGTTGGGTATTTGTTAAAAAACTTTCGATAGTAATAAGATCAAGAGATGGGCTCTTTTAACCTATCAAGACGCATTAGGCATCTCTAACTAGTTTCCAATAATTGCTTTTCCGCATATCTTGAAAAACTCGATTTTTCGTAGGTAAAATGAGATAGTTAACAGTAGTTTGATGCGTAAAAGATCCTGTTAGTAAATCTTTTCATAGTTTCGTGCCTCTTTCTCTGTCGGTACTTGAACGCTTCCGACAGTCAATAAATTGATATCCTCTTTTTCTAAAAGCTTTACAGTATAGTCTCAGAAAATATTTGTAAGTGAACATTATATGTCTAATTCACATGGTATACTTCTATCGTCGTGGATAATCATTTCTATTCGATCGATGAAAACTGAGATAAAAAATTAAGAAGTTATTTTTTCTTCTTATCTAATTCGATGTTTAGTTTGAATAAAAAACGATATATTCATAAGGTGTACACATTGAATTATATTATTAAAATAAAAAAATTCTACATTGAAATAAAGTGGTTAGTGTCATTATATATCATCAGTCTGAGTTTTAGAAGCAGCAAGAGTAGCAATTTCTGAGCTTGTTAATGCTCTTCCAAGGAATATGAGATCATCAATTCCTCCGTACATTTTTGTATAATTGAAAACTGGAAGTCCTGAAAAACATTTCATTTGTTCATAATTGCTTGGTTTGGGTGTTATTGAATTATTTAAATAGACACCACCAAAACTTGCAGAAAAACGTGCATTACTCGATATTATCGATGAATAACGACGGCTAACATCAGTATCTATTAATATTCCATCTTGATAAAAATAATACGTTTCCGGACTATCATATACAATACCAATATGTGTCCATGTATCATTTTTAATTGATGAACCATTTACATCAACAACTGCGAATCGTTTTGGAAAAAAGAATCCTATACTACCTCCAGGATAAACATGCATACTTATTGCACATGAATAACTAGCTGTCGCTAATCCACTAACTGCTCCTAATAATTGTAGAACAGCTGTTGCACTATTGATTTTATCAGGTGTTATTAAAATTAAACGAAGCCAAAATGCAATGGAATATTCAAAATCATTTGAATCAAAAAGAGTAAAACCAATTGATTGGAAATATGAATCAGTTGAATTGAAAAGAAGAGTACTTGTATTACTTGATATTAATCGATAAACATTATGACTAAGTCCATGTATATTATTTGGACCAATATCAGCATTGATATTATCATTATTGAAATTATAATGAAAAATTGTAGTAGCTTCATATTGTATTTCACTATCATTTTTAACAGAATACAATATATTTAATTGATCAACTAGACCATAGAAATAATTCGTCATACTTATTCCATTCACTCCAAGATAAGATAATTGTGTTTTATTTACTTTATTGACTGTTGGATATGTCATATTTAACGATTGTGTTCCAAGTCGAGCACCATTAAGATAAAAAACTGTTGATCCAGTTTGATTATTGAATGTAAATGATACATACATCCAACATCCTTGACAAGTCGTAAATTGAATCGAAGCAACGGCTTGTTGAAGAATACTTCCATCATTCCAATTTAAAATATTTATATTCATAATGATATCATCAATAATAAATACAATACAAATTGGATTAAGACTATTACAATCAGTCAATAGAGTTTTCGTTCGATATCCAGTTAATAAAATCCAAGCACTCATAGTAAAACTAGTATTTAATGTAAGATTTAATGAACGAGGAAAATTTATATATTGAAATAATAATCGATTCAATTGACATGCTTGACCTTGTCCAGAAAAATCAGGTGAAGTAAATTGAATACCATTTATAAGAGTACCATTATATTGACCAGTTAAATCTTCTCTTGCATCAGCACAATCAAATGACCAGAAATAATCAGCTCGGATTGTAGTATTTCGAGGATAGCATGCTATTATAAATTAAAAACAAAAAATTCATTCTTATGAGAATGTGTGAAATGAAAATTCCAGGTAGGCGCTGCTTATCAGTAGAGTTTGATAAACAAAAATAGTAATATCTTTAGTGAAACTTGAATAAACTTACGTGGAGGTTTAGGTGTTTTTCTTGTTGCAAATATTATACCGACAATGATGCCGGCAATACAAGCTATAATGATTAGGGCTATTTCTGCTAATGTTTTCTTTTTCTTGTACCAAGGCGTTTTTTTTGGTAATGGTGGATATAGCAGAGCACCTAAAATAGAAATCGAATATATTCTTATATAGATTGATATATAATATTTACCTTCGAATGGTAGTTCGAGTAGCGTTACGGTTGGTTTTATTTGTCTTAAATGAACGATATTTAAGTCAGGTGCTGGACGAAATAATGATTGAACTTCCATATGAGTTCCAGGTAAAAGAAGTATTTCATCTTCTGTAACGAAATGTGAATGAGCACGTATTGTTCTACCATTAATAACTTCAACTGAAAATAAAGTTCTCTCACCAGCTGTACCCAAATACATATTATTTTCAAGTACAGTTAATTCCGTTGTACATGATGAAAATGACCACCATGTCACTAGAGTACCACGAGAAAATTCTGCACTTAAATCTTTAGTTACACCTCGCCAAACTGTGACTGGTGGAAAACAAGGTAATTTAGCTAGAGCACTTACAAATAATTTAAGATACTTGAAAAAAGGTTGAAGCTCTTCGCGAGGAGAATTTTTAAGTATATGATTTAATGTTGAATAGAGACTGTAGTGTGGCTTTTCCCATTCGATTGTATAGAGACGAATTGCAGCACTTTCATCGATTGTTAAATTATCCGGTGGTTCCTCAGGTGTTTCATCAAGTGCCATCTTCACATAATAGTGTAAATTATGAAACATATCAGATAACGGTGCACATGCTTCAGCTAATGGTAATAAAGGTTCTGCAGCGTAGCCTATCACAGGAAGAGATTCATCTTTGCTTTCAATAGGACCCATACCAGCAACAAGTCGATTGTTTCTTGCAGATGGATCTTCGTCTGTATTACCAAGTTCTTCCATTGGTATTTGCACATCAGATAGATCTTCGTTGATATCTGTTTTCAATTGATCAAAATCAATCGATGAATTATCATCAATAGCAGTATCTTTATTTCTTTCTCTATTACTACGTTCAGGCATTTTTATATCAATCTGAAAATAAATATAGGAAAAATTTTATAAATACCTTTAAAAATTTTCTTGAATCTAATCGATATTATTCAAATATAATTATTTGTAAATAATATATTTAAAAGTAATTTCTATAGTTAATTACTCAAATGAACTCATTTTATCAGCAATATATATTTTATGTGACCAGGTCGCTGATTTATGTTAATCTTATGATTTATTTTTCGTATTATTTACTCTTATATATATATTTTTCATGAATACAACGTTTATTGTATGTATGAAAAGAAGCGTGACATAGGTAATATTGTTATTAATCTTGTTTTCGATGACAGCATTTATTTCTTCTAATACGTTTTTTTTATCAAAACAAAAAATAAACGAATTCTAATGTACAAAAGCTTAAGTACAAATAATATTATCGAAATTTTTTCTTTTGCTTATTAATTCATCATATATATTTATTTTTATGTCGTAATTGTCAATAATAAGTTATAACTTAAATGATAATGATAGTAAACAAAGTAGAAGAAATTTACAACGTTTATCCTATAGGTATATTGTACTATAGGATGAGTCACTGATGTATTATTTTTTTCTTCTTTGTTTTATAGATAACATATAGGGATATATTGATTCGGTTTTTTTCTTTGACCTTCGTATATTCATAGTTTCGCTTCACTATATATATTATAATCAGTTATATCGTTAAAAAAGATTCGAGAATGTACAACTTAAATTAATTTTTTATTTGGTTTAATAAAAATAAATTGACTATTATGATTAAAGATCTTTTTTTATAATATCAATTCGAATATATGTGATAGTATTATATTTATCTCGTACGTGTACATTTTAAGATATGTTTATATCATCGAATTGAAGCAACGCAATGAATATTTTTTACTTTGTTTTATGATGTTATTTGCATTATAGACATGTGCTTCTAGAAGAAATTGTGTTATATTCTTATCATGACATGATAAATCAACATATATATGATGTTTGTAACTGTTATGAATAAGTGTAAATACTATTCTTTTTCTCGTAGAGAAGAGTCTTGCAAACAAAAACGATTGGTTTCCATAAACTTTCATCAAAGGGTAATCGGAATCGAGGAACAAATATGACGCTGGTTTTTTGAGAATCATGTTGTAGACGAAGAGCAGTCTTTGTGTGAGCGTTACTTGTTATATTCATAGAAATAAATATGCATTCATTTATTTAGATATTTGTTTTCTATATAAAATGAAACGATTGATATCATTATTTTGGTATTGGTCTTTACTTATTTTACCATTTACAGCCATTATTACATTTATTTCAACATTGATAGTGTGTAGTCTAGTATTACGAGATAGTACGTGGTCAGGACAGAAATATCCAAATATTTCTGTACTTGGAACAGGTCGTGGATATATTTATTTTATGTCTGGTTTTGTTATTTTAACTCCACAATTTTTATTAATACTTATTGGTCGATTACAATTTCTTATTCAATCTCAAACGATTATTCATTATGTTATTCTATATATTATTCATAGTCTAGGATTAATTGCATCTGTATTTCTTTTGATCATGGCTATTGTAAGTTTAGATGATAATGTTCGTCTTCATGTAACTGGTGCT